GTTCATCACCATGCTTCTGGCCCCTGCACTCAGAGGAGCTCAGCACTTTGGTGACACCAGCCCACACTACAGCCTGTGTCAACTGTTTAAGTTACCCATTGCTTTGGGATACACAGCAAACAGATAATAATAATGTTAAGGTCTCAAATACCACCATCTTCCACTGCTCTCAGTCAGCTATTAACTGCACATCTGAAACCTTTAACCCAGTGTATTTATCTCGTGAACTGAATGACAAAGTTTGTTAGTTCACAGAAATAAGTTTATTAATGATTTCTTGCTGGAATTACTGATAGTATTCCTGAGCAACTGCTCTACAAAAGGAAAAGTAATTCACAACATGGGCTAAAGGTCTATAGCCTGTATACAGAAATCCTCCCAGGGTCTGCCACTGCACACCGAAAATCCACATTTCTCATTATTTCTCTGCTTGCTCTTTCTCATCACCTATGCATCTCGCCAGGTTAATGCCCCACCATCTCTGGAAAGACTGAAGGCCATGACCAACACTGACCAAATTCCCATCTTGCTGACGCCATGTGCGATTTTTCATTTTTACCCTCAGGAGGATGGCCAAGCAGGCAGACAATTCTTTAGAAAAGTCCTATCTTGTACTCTTGAAGTCTGAAAAGAAGCAGTACTGTCTCCAGCAAATGCAGAGGCAGCACAGCTCATGCAGTCCTAAACCACACTGCTTTCAGAACTTCCCAGCCCTCTGCTGGGAATTGCTGTGATTTATCATCCATACCATAAGAACAAGATCCATGAAACAACCCCACTTCAAAACCCAAGGAGATGGGGTAACTTTCAACAGGGATAGCAGTGATGTACCCCACAGTCTCACAAGTGATGGCAGCAGAACACCTGAACTGCAGCCAGGTGTGCCCCAGCCCTGGTCCCATCCTTCACTCCAGCACTGAGGGCCCCAGTGCTTGTCTGACCCTGAAATGAACTGGTTCAGCTCACTAAATTGGTTGAACACTAACAAGGGAGAAGGAGCTAATCAGCTCCCAGGGTAATATGAGCACCAGTGGTGAAGAGAGGGAGGGGACAAGCTGCAGACTGAGGGAGCAGCAAATTGCAGCGTTCCTCTGGATGGAAATGAACGGTCACAGAACTCTTAATCCATCTTCACCTCTGAGATTGCAGAACTCACCCTGCACAGCTGCCTGCCTCCTTGTGCCAGGTGAAGCCCCACATTCTGTTGTCACGATAGCGAGATGGCATATGGGTACATTCACATCAGGTTAAAATCATAAATGAAATCAAGATGGAGAACACAACCTGCACAAAGACTGTCCACGTATATCCTTGCACTGGAACACCAGGAGATGTGAACTGTCCCAGCTATAACCCATTTGGAGGTGTGGTGCTTAGCAGCCCAAAGCTCTGCCCCGCAGCCCTCTCCAGCCCCACTCCCCATCGCACAGCCTGCCCCCTCTGTTCTGCTGGTGCCAGCACCCACCAGCCCGTTGCTCAGCACACTCCAGCTCCTCACTGCAAGAAAACCCACGCTCCATTTCCACCCCCCACCTTGGCTTTGTGCAGGTGCAGTGCCTTGGACCTGCTCACCAGAACAGCACAAGGGAAGTGGAGGGCTGTGCAACCAGACACAGGGAGGAAAGGGAACCCTCCAGTTTCATGGTGCCACAGAATAACTGAGGTGTAAAGGGACCTCTGGAGGTCACCCAGTCCAGTGAGAGTGAATCACTGCCTTGGCTCAGCCATAGCATTGAGGCAAGCAGGGAAAGCAGCCAGCAGCCTTCTGGCTCTGTCATCAGAAACTCAATTCTCACAGTTTTCCAATGACAGTTTTAATTTTTTTTAATGGAATACGAATGTTGTTGCAAAAATTATTCCTTTTTGTACCCTTAAGGAATAAAATGAAACGCTCTTCCTGGAAAACACAATTAGCAGCTAAATCCCTGACTATAACCCTCTAAGTAAAGGCAGAATACTCCAAGGAACAGCAAAACAATGCAGCGAATATTTTTGCAGCAGGAAGAGTTTGGAGATGTTTGTTTACCATACAGTTTGTTCCTACTTCACAGATCCTAAAGAACCCATATAAAGAACTCTGATTATTAATAGAGTCAGACAACTCAAAATGGTATTTCTAACCTGTTTATAAATGGTCAAAAGGAAATTACAAATACATAAAAAACAAAACCAAGTTTACAGTAAAAGGGCAGGGAGCTAAATTTGTTCTTCCAGTAAGCAATATGTTATATGAAACTAAGCTGAGTACATCTGCCATCATTTTACCTGGAAAAAATCAAAGTGGGGAGAGGAGGAAAGATTTGTAGTTTGCCAGTGTTCTGGAAGAGCAAAACAAAAAGGAAAAGCTCCTATAGTGTACAAACCTACATATGGATAAGTAGTTTAAGCAACACATGCAATGATTTTCACAGCATGCCTTGAAAAGATTCGTTAATGTCTTTGGAAATGTGGGAAAGTAATTTATAACACCAAATAAAAAAGTAACAGAGGGCCCAATCCTGTCACCACTGACTCAATCTGGGCAGAGCTGTGCTTTCGGGACCTTCCGGCAGACTTAAAACATTTTTCAACAGCCCAGTTCAGATATTAGCAAGCCCCAGCCTGGCTGGCTCCCACCACATCCCTACTTGCTATTTTATTTCCCTTTCCTCTCCCTCCCTCTGCTTTATTAAAATTTAAAACAAAAATATTTTTTATGTTCTGAGCATTTGTATATTTGGAAACAGTGCCTGCCTTTTCTCCATCTGACAGCTCTGAGCACCGCTGGCCCTTAGCAGCCTGCAAATCAAGAGAGGCACAGCAGCCCACCTCGGCGGCATCGCCCACGCCACCACAGCCCTGGGAACTTCTGGTTCTCTGTATAACACTGCCATGAAATCCCCCATCTCCCACAGAATCAGGGGGGAATTCCCAGAGAGCAAAAGGAATTCATTTTTCAGAGCCCTTTGCGATCGGAAAGAAATATTTTCCCCTTGCCACAGTAAGAGAAATGACGAAGATGGGCCGTGGATGGAGAGGCCGTGGTAGGGGACCAACAGCATGCTCAGAACATGGCACATTTTACAATGTGATCCTGCACTAAGGAAAGCCACCTTCCTTCTCATTCCTACCAGCAGTGCGGGCCAGAGTGGCTGCTGGAAACACCAAGTCTCTGCATGCGGCACATAAGTTTCCATCATTACCCTGCAGAGCTGTTGCACTTTCAGAACACGCTGCTGATTGGACTGAAGTTCTAATGCATGTCATTTAAAAAGAAAGGAAAAAGAAAAACAAGCAAATGAAGCACTCAGTCATAAATGACTCTGTATCATGTGCTCTCCCACAGAGTCAGCACTATGGGGCATGTCTGTCGATATCCTCTCTGGATTCCATGTGGAAGGACAGAGCCAGTGATCACAGTGTCTGCCCCAGCCCTGACTTCCATTCCTCTCTCCAGATACAGGAGATACATGACCTGAAGTCCTCAGTGAAGAAATCCCGAACCTCTCATGAAGCTTCCATTGAGACAACCAAGCAGTACACACCACCCAGCTGAAGAATATCAGTCAGAGCATCTCCCAGGCTTTGAAACTATATGGCCAGCAAGCATGCAGCCTCCATAGCAGACCTACATGGGCAACAAGTTTCTAGCTATCATATGAGACTTCTAGCTTCAGAAGAGGTTCCCCTGCTTTTAACTTTCCTCCTCCACGGTGTGCTTTGGTTCTGATCTCAATGCAGTGTTGACTTCCAACTTCACCTCTATTGCAAGTGCTTCTATCAGAGCCTGGGAGTTCTTCTCCGCATTTTTGGACAGTTCATCAAAGCAGCGCAGCCAGCTACATCTGCACATATTACCCACAAAGAGTAAAACTTTCTCTGTTCAGTTGCTGAAACAATATAGTACAAAAGCTCCACCAGGACTTCAGTAGGAAAGTTTATTTCTTGTGCTTTTTATTACCTTGCTGCTATTTCCTAGCCATAAGTTGGAAATGTTAAATTATAAAAAACCCAATATTAACCAACCAATTGAATTGCCAGTTCTAATTTCGGACAGAAATATAGACAAAGAAATAATCAAAGACTTACCAAAAAAGCAGATGGCTGCAGAGCACTTCTGGCAGTCATGCTACTCGCACATGGGACCACTTGAGTTTAACAAATCGGACAACAGAGAGAGTGCTGAAATGGAAATTGGGGCTCTACTCCATTCAAATTCTTCAAAATGTTTGTTTTGGATTTGTACCTCTACTGCAATTTACAACTCTAGATTAGATATAGCAAGAGTAATATTCTTGACTAGAAGAAAAACAGAGTGCTAAGCCATTTGCCAAATCACACAGATCGCCTCCCTGTATACAAGTAACACTGATGGATAAATGTTTTCCTAAATAAAACCAAGCGATGAAGGTGTTTTTACTAACACAGCAATACAGTCTACCAGCAGTTGGAGGACAAGACATTTTCCTGATTCAAACTGAAAGACATCTTCAAACAAGTCCCTTATCCGCTCACAAACATGTGCAAGTTCCATCAGCATGAAAAGGAAAACCACAGAAACTTGAGATTTCACGGGAATCTCCACACAGCACAGACAAGATACTGACACCTCCCACTGGAAGCAAGATTACATCCCAAATCTGCTTGCTCTAAAGGTATCCCCTTCAATGCTAACGAACGAAAGTCCTTTCTAACATTTGCCACTTTTGAGACTGTAAGGCATGGTCAATCAGGCAGGGCAAATTACTGAAACACTGTAATACTGATGCAAGGACACACGGGTAGCAGATGACGCATGAAAAAGGGGCAAAAAGACTAATTCCACCAGTCCTGCTGTAAGAAATCAGTTACCATAAGTGTTTAACAGAAAAACATGAAGGCTTGTGTCACAAAGATGCCAGTTGCAGCTTAATGTCAATGCACGTCCAACTATGACATCACCTACCACAACCAAAAATTAAGACGAAAGTTCTGCTGGTCTCAAGGACTCACTCACCAGGGAGCTGGTGGTTTTATATGCACGCCTTCCTGAAGAATCCAAAAATAACATTTTTCCATAGAGCAGAAATTCTTGTAGTGTTCACGCTTTTCGTTTCGGTCATGTTGCAATCCAAAGTGCCAGCCCTCTGTAATGAGGTAATCCAACAATGTAATTTGTAGTATTTTATCCTGTCAAAATTGATCTTAGTATTTCTATAGCAACTAGATCAAAACAAAAGATGAGGCAGACAGAAAAACTCTCCCCCTGCCACCACCCAGAATTTTATATAAATATGTGTGTATATATAGAAAGCATTACATATATATGAAGTTAACATTCATGATTCATCATTAAACAGCACTAGAAAAACAGCACTGGAGAAACAGCAGCACAGTAGGATGACATTTGCTAGCATTTTTTTTTCAAATGTGCAAACTGGCATGAATATAAAATGAAGAAGTAATTGTTAACTACCAAACACCCATCAACAGAGCATGTCTTTCCTGCTAGACCCAGTTAGGGAAAGGTATTATCCATTCCCAGGTGGAATGGATGGAAAGGAGTACTGGTTTTTACTGCTGCCATGAGGTAAAAAACATAACATCTTTTCCTCAGAGAAAATGACGTTTTAACAATTACCATCACAAATTGATGTTTAAGAACATTTGATTGCCATTTAACGATCTGGGCTTAGTTTTGGAATATTCTTGCAGGTGTCTGCCAGCTTATTTTGATGCCTTCGTAGGAGCTGAGCTGAGTCCAGACTGTCATTTCAAAACACCTCAAAAAACCTTGCATTTGGAGCTCAATCCTGTTCCCAATCAACTAACATGATTAATAGCCCCTTCCTTTTGAAACAAAGATTGGCCTTTTACAATGGTGAGCTAAAAAGTTTGGTCCTCCTACAGAGCAACTTCTCCTTACCATCTGAGTAGCTTCTGAACACTGGTTAGGAGATTCTGTTGCATGCTGAGCACAGACTGCCAAACACACACAAACTCCACATGTAGGCATGCAAATCCCATATAGTTCCTGACTTTGGCTCTAAAGTGAGGCTGAACGTCTCCTAGCACGTGAGAGATACCTGCCTATAGAGACCTGCCCAGTGTCCAAGAACAATTTTCTGTATCCTGCATAGTGTCACTTACAGCTCTGGTATAAGAACACACAACAGTTTCAGACAGATTCCTAAAATGGCGGGGAAGGAAATTCTGAGAAATTGTCAGCTGGAAAGAGGGTGATAAACTCACTGTCACTGGGCTGTATCTCTGCAGGTCCAACCAATTTTTTGCTGCAGGCTGCCACCTGTGGAGGGCATCACGTTCCAAGGCACACCACAACAACTATGGCAAGTGCCTGCAGCCGGAAGGCAATTTGTCTTCTTGGCCAACTGCCACTCCTTAAGAAAAAGTGAGAAGGTTAAGTCAGACAAATACTGGCCATAAAATACATAAATAAATAAAATAAAAACCTGCTGGTAAAAGCAAGACACCTCTTCGATCCGAAGCTCTCTTTCTAGAAAACAGAATTTTGCCAGAATTTAGAGAAGGGGATATGATAGACAAAAAATTGTCCATGAATATACGAAAAAAAACACGTGTGTGCATAATTTGAAGGAGAGGAATGTTTCTACAGATTATTCTCACTCCTCAAATTAAACACACTCAAGCTTTTCACCTCCTAAAGCCCTGACCTTGTGAAGCGCTCTTCCACTTGATGGCAATTCTCTTGAGTAATGACAGAAAAGAATTCAATTGTGGCAGAAGCTGTGCTATGTATTCCTGTTTCATTCACAGAGGCTGCTGTAGTAGTGTCTGTCCATACATGGCCTTGTAGTAGCGGCATTTCAAAGCTTATCTTACAGCTGACAGAGACCCTGGCGTGCCTTCAGATGAACATACTTATAGAAATGTATTCAGCAAACTGTTCTTTTTTTAACCTCAGAAATAACTGCCATGCTGATACAGCAGGAGTTGCAAAATGCTCATTTAAGCAGTAGCGTTTAAGAAGCATAAAGATAAATGAAACTGTGGATTTCTTCCTAATTATCACCAGCTCCTGCCTGCCAGAGATGTACCTTTTCCACACCAAACCCCTCATTATCCCTTCCTCCAATAAATGCAATCAACATTGAACCAAAAAGTTCCCGTCTGCATCCAGTTTACAGGCTCCACCATCCTGCCCTTTGAAATGGAATCTTGTATGAGGCGCGTTAGGAAAACTGAAGGAAATTGGAGAGAAAGAAAAAGAGATTTAAAAATAAAAGCAGTATTTATGTCTCCCAAATGGGAAGTTCGGAGCAGCGAGGGCAGGAAGCGGACGGGTATTTAAGCTGATTACCCAAGCAAAGCCCTCTGCCTTTTCAGCAGTGCCACGGTCCCTCGGTAAAACCATTTAAATTAATTAGAGTTCCACGGAGGGGACGAGGGGATGGAAAAGATGTCAGGTTTTATCGGGAGTGTTAGTGATGGCTGGCTGCAGAGAGGCTCCCGTGCTGCTCATTGGGCCTGTGTGCTCCAACACAGAGTGCTCTCGCTGCCCCGTGGCTCCGTGCCTCCCCAGGGGAACGGCTCAGACCCGCGGCCATTCACCCCAGCATACACAGTGTGCGGGCAGTGACCAATGAAGTACCAGGGTATTTCACGTTTGTACAGAAATTCACACAAATAAAAGCCTTTTGAGCCATGCTGGCCTTGTAGACATGGATCTTATTATGCTCTTTGCCTAATTACCAACTCAATTTTTTTTTAAAACACGAGCACTGCTGCGCACAAGCCCAGCGCAATGGCCTCAGGCAATGCTCCCACGTGCATCTGCACACATGGAGGAATCACATCTCCTCCTTCACACTTGCACATAACTGACTAGACAAATAATATTATCATAGGAGGAAGAGCCAGAATTAGAAGGGAAATACTGCAGCATTTAGATGTAATCTGGTGAGCATTAGATCATGATTCACTTTGACACAAAAGCTCAAGAGCACATTCAGCCGGGGAGAAATGCGTTGCAGCGTTTTAAACAAGAAGGAAATCATTCTAATGTTTCATGGGCTGCAATATTTGCTGTTGAAATCCTCATAATTGCCTGTGCTCCACACTTGCATTGTACCTAATGAATTGGTTTTAGATTTCAAAAAGCTTCAGCAAGATCTTATTTGCTTCTGACTCCCAACAAAGAGGAATGTTTTAGTAAGATGGAACAGAAAGCTGACAACAGCAACAACAAAAAGCCTTCAAACACCACACTATATTTATCCTCACTGCATTGCACAACAGGATTTCTAAATTGAGGATCTTTGGGTTTTAATGAATAATTTGTTGAACAGTAGAATACTCCAATACCCATTGCTTTTCATCACAGACAGCTATGAAAGTTGTTTTCCACCTCTGGTATCGCAGGGCACCCGGCTAGAAGGGGACAGGGGCATCTTCTGGAGGTGAAGGAAACACTTTGCAGGTTTTGTGGCTGTGTGTTATCTCAGGAGGGAGAAATGAAGGAACACACTCAGTCCAGGTTTCAGGAGCAGATACGGAGCAGTGCTTAAAGGCTTGCATCTGCTCCACTCTCGGGAAGTATTGCTTTATCAAACAAAACCTGAATCAACGCGACGTTAATCAGAGGCTGGCTCAATGCAGTTTTACTGGCTGAGCCCAATCTTCTGCTTTCTTCTCACCCACACCCACGAGACCCCATTGCTTCCCTCCTATCACCTCCTGCTTTTTGCTGGCCACAAGAAAGAATAAATCCTCGCCTCCTCCCCATCCATTCTCCATCACATCATCTGAAAAAGCACTGGATCTTTTCTGATGGTACCGCAGTGCTGCACTGCTTCAACGCAATCCCAAAACTCCTGGCTCCAGACACACATTTTCATGGTACAAAACCACACTCAGCTGTACTTTCCAGCCAACCCTCTCCATCAGCAGTACCCAGTGGTCTCTCAACAGAACAGAACACATCCTTCAATCCTCATGCCACTCAGAAAAGGAACTGAGAAACATCTTTATGGTTTAGATCTGAGCCACAGCATGTGAAGCCAGAACCTGTCAAAGAGCACTGAGTTTCTGCTGGTCCGTTTCTGTCTTCCTCAATCCAATGCATACCAACAAAACTCCCATGTCCGGCTTTGCAGGGGTTTGTGCTTTGGACTTGTAATCATCTAAACACATTTCCTTTATATAGCAACTGGAATGAACATATCTAGAAAGAAACCAGATCACATAAAACAAGCTGCTAACTCTTTCTCACATGTTCAAATATGATGCCAATTCCCAGAAGCTGCTGTGATTGAGTGAGCACGGTTCTGTTATGAGCCCAAGTGAGACTAGCGGGGCTCTCTAAGTATCTGCAATTTCAAGAGAGATAAATGTTATGTAAACATAAATTTTGCAACTTTATTATTGTATGTTATTTCATGCCAAGTTGCTCTTTACATAGAAAGCAAATACCATCACCAAATTTATTTCCAAAAAGCAAAATAAAGTTTATAGCTCTACTTGGCCTATAGTTTGTTTATAAACACAGGAGCTGACGGGCCTTAATACAATGGGAAGAGCAAAAAAAAACCCACAAAACTGTCTGCAAGCTGAATAGGAGCCAACAGTGCACTCTCAGCAAGTAAGGCAAGGGGCACAATGGCCTTCATTGGGAGGAGCGGGGCCCTGAGGAAGAGATGGGGATCTAGCAATAGGTTGTCTAAAGCCTACAGCAAATTCCCCAGCTTGAATGGGAAGTTTAGTGACCACACTGCCCGACTGCTTGTTTGAGATGGCTGCCAGAACGACGGCAATATCACAAAATACATCTCAGCAAGTTCAGATCAGATATTAGGGAAGTCCTTTTCAGAAGGGTGGTGCAGTCCTGGGATAGGTCACAGAGCAGGGGATCTCAGATCTTGGGGATGTTTCATGCTACACATGCATCTTGAGACAGAGCAGCATTTTTGGTGAGAAATTATCCTGCTGAGCAATTTTTGACCAGGTATTGAAGGAACCACAGACATTTGGCACATAACAATCCAGCAAAGTTCTCAAAGCTGCTCTCTACCTTTTATTAAATACCAAAGTGCCTTTAAGAGCCTTATTATAAGCTACCAAACCCCTGCAGCTCCAGGCTCAGTATTCCCAAGATGTTTTGAGGTTTCACTCACATGCAAAACTTGCCCTGTATTCTGGTGGACGGTTCCAGAGTGCAGGGTCTGGCCACGCAATTTGCATCACAAGAGCAAACTCCACATATTTGAAAAGATTATCAGTCAACTACAGTTCTTTCCACTGTAGAAACAGTTACTCAGTTAAGATAAACAAAGAAATTCCCATGAACTGAAAAGGAAAACCTATTAACTGATTAAACATGTGAATCAGTTGATAAACTGGTTATCAAAGTTCTGAAAACATTTTTAACAATGACCCTTCCTGCCATGGTTAACAATGACCCACAAAAGCTAGAATAATTCAGCACTTTGCAGGAAACCAACTGGACAGAAAACAGAATGCGCTTCAGATCTAAGAAGCAGCAGCTCTGCAGTGTGCACTGACACACTTAGATATTAATTATCAGTAAATTTGTGATAAACATTTTAGTCACCAATTAAAAACTTTGGACAATTCTTTTTGGCACACAGGAAAAATGAAGCATTATCCCCTCTGGCATGTACTTGTCATTCTGTTCTTGTTTAGAGCTTTTCAAACAGCTATAAAAATACTCACAAAAGCATTTGTTTTTCTCATAACTGATTGTGCAATAGGACACACTCACACCTAGACTTCGTTTTATTGAAAAACCTCCATTTACTCTTTAGGACGGTTCAGAGAAGGCAAATCTCAGAGCTGCCAGAGCTGCCCTTGTCACACCGTCCAGATGGCTCCAGAAGAGCTCTGAGCAATTCAGGTGCCAGACTGGGATCCACTCAGGTTAACCAAACACATTGCAGTTCCTTGGATGGAAAGTGTGGGCAGAACCAACCGTATTTACAGGAAATGACAGACATGAATTTTCCCAAGAAGTCACAGAAACACCCAAATCCAAGGCACTTTTCAGACCACTTCCCACAAATGCTTGATATCTATTCCGCCTCCCCACGTTGACTGCATTAGTGAGACAAAGCAGGTACTAAGCAAAAGAGACCCGAATCCTAATTCCTACTTCTGCATAACTTCGTGGTAAGTAAACTGTCTATAGCTATCTTTTGCCTTTCATCATTGGAAAAGCCAGTCTGTCTAAGAAGCAATATTGCCTATCAGAGAAATCCCCAAATGCAAGATATTTCCACCACGAGTAGAAACTGCATCACTGTGCAACGTTCTGACAGTTAGCCAATCTGTGATAGAAAACTTCTCTATCAACTATGCTCTGCTAAGAAGTCACAGCAAAAGACTGAAAGGTTCTACCAATTAC